CGCAAAATCTAAATAAATTCAGCAATTGATTGTGTTGTAACTTTATTATGCAATATATTAAACAACATTTTGCTTCGATAAATAATGTAAGGAAATCGCGATTTCGATCGACCGAAATTTGATGCTAAGGGTTTTCGGAAGGGACGCGATGCCCCGGCTGGCTATCTGTCACATTCTTGATGTCAGCAGTCGGTATCCGTAGGACCGGTGCTCCGCCAAGCGCCCTGACGATTCAATTAGGATTCAGGCATGCAGCGAAGGTCCGGATTTCTCCTCGCCTCCTGTTCCCCTTACCACCTTTCTTTCGGTGGTATAATCGATCGCCGATTTCACGAGAGATCCGACGCTCGCGTGGCCGTTGATATATGAAGTTTAGGAACCAGATGCGAGCGCGCGGCCCGCGCGTCCGCGAGGTATCAATGGATCTCTACATTCAAAATGCAGTCCAAGCGACAATATAACAAGTCGCATCGGGAATAAGTGACTGCTCGGTATCGCCGGTCATTAATTAAACGTAATCCAATCAACATACGCTCGCGATCTTTTTTTAATAATATAATTTACTATCAGGCAGCTTACAGTTAACGTAAATTTTTTTTAATACGATTTATATGTCTGTCGCGATGAAACGCGAATAATTTCGGCGAGACGCGACGAGAAATTCGGATTTAATTGTTCGGCGTCGCCGAATTATCTCAAGATGCTATAATTTCCGCGCGAACAATGTCCGCCACGGGGACCGCCGCTGCGTTTAATCAATCGCGAGAAGCGAGCCCAGTCGTTATACTACGTCGCGCACACAGACGACTTGCCGGCGAGACTAAGGAAGTGGGACCGAAGCATCGGACCAAGGGCTGAAAGCCTCGATGAAGCCATCGCCGAGAAGCGTCGCGGGGACAATGGAGCAATCAATAGGGTAATGTGAGGACACTTTATCGAATTATCGATGCGGTCGACACTGGCGTACCTACGGTCAATGGACACGGGTACCCTGCTTTTCGAACGAACCCTTACTCGCCTCGCCGTCTCCCCCTCCTCTCACTGTCTCTCTTTCGCTCGCGTCTGTCTTTCTGCCTTGCTCGCTCTGGTCACCCCGTAGTCCTCTCTTTGCCGCTTTCAATCTGTCTATCCGTGTCTCTTTCTCGCTGGTTCCCGTCAATGTTCGGCGACTGATAGAGCCGGAGCATCCGCGCCGTAACAAGCTCAGTCGCCCTTGACACTTTGGGCCGTTAATGTCCAAGAGGCACGCGATAAATCCGGCCCCGAACGTAAGGCGTATTTCTATCTTACCGCAGTGCTATCCCGGGAGTGTCCTTCGGTGCAAGGAGCGAGTGCCTCCGCGGCGTATGTCATCTCTCACACTCGCTAAAGATACTGGTTTGTACACTCGTCTCATTTCTGTACAATGTAGGCAACTTACGATCCATGCAAACAGACTGCAAAGTGAAAAAAATCTTTTTTTCTCGCTCTCTGTGATAAAACAAAGATAATTGATATCTAATCGTTGTATGCGATGCAAGTCAAATAATAAAATCGATCGACCACGAAGCTCTCTATCGCGAGATTTACTGTGTTTACATATCCTTGGCGATAATTTCTAGAATGCCAATACATAAATCTGCTCGTCCAATTGGATGGGAAATCCGTAATACAGAAGAAACGCAGACGACAACGCGCAGTTAGAAAATCCGGTCGTGAGTGGGCTTCGCGCCCGAGCGGTGGACGTTTAACAGGGACGGTGGTGGGCCGATATTTTTACGCGGACTCGGTCACATATTTCTATGTCAGTTTGTACTGGGGAGTTTTTCCTTTCTACATCTTTGTTATCGAATATCGTTGCGACGCGCGCGCGCGCGCGCGCGCGCGCCCGTATATATACACGCGCTTGTAATTGCCGCGGCCGGTCTTCGGCAACTCTTATCTCCTCCGCCTGGCCTGCTAGCAACGAGTCGCGTCGCGTCGCGTCGCATCGCGCCGTGTCGTGTCGGTCCTGTGAAGCATGCCCGATTGACCGCGTGTGAGAACACGATATCGCACGAATGAGTTATGATCCCTATTCGAGGATTTGCATACCGATTCATTATGCGCCGGTGGAACTCAAAATTGGAACGCAACGTGGCGCAACAGATCGCGCGCTGCATGGGACGTCGAAGGAGGGCGGCAGCAGAAACGATAAATCAAAGGCCTCCTGCCCCGCGTGTCTCCCCCCCCCCTCCCCTCCCACCCCCCCACCGCGCTTCAGGTCTCCCTTTTCGCGAAGCGCATGCAAATCGTACTCGCCTTAATGGCGAACGATGCAACAGTCCGGCGAAAGAAAGAACGGTTCCACGTCTCTTTCACGCGTCCTCCGTGAAACTTTCCGCGTGTGAGTTTTGAATGCGCGAACTCGCGCGTTGTATCGCTCGTCGAAGGCCGTGCGCACAGATGTACTAAATTGCGTACAAACAAATCACTTTGGCACGATCGACATGCGCAAACACAGTTGTGTAATGCTTCGGCGTTGAGTAATTCGATTTATGTAACGGTAGTGCTATTGTCGTCGCGCGTTGTTTTGCGACTCGGGCTTGTCGAGGAATACTTAACGATTATTAGAGTATTGCTGTCATCATTTTTCAATTAAGAAGATTAATATCGCAGCTCTTCCATTTTTTCTCGATGTTTTTTTAAGTCATGCATATACGTTATATTCTTAGCAGTGAAGAATCGTAGAAAAATTACGATAAGATAAAGGCTTCAGTTATTATTATAATTTTTCAACAGTGAACTTTTATTTATTTCCTAGTATTTATCTTTTGAGATTTTTTTCTTGTGAAGTACTCGGAAAAAACAGGAAAAAATGAAGTACGAAAAAAAGCAATGAGGAGAGAAGCGGCTTCGAAAGACGAATGAACGGATTGTCTGAGATAAGAGGAGATGACAGGTGAGGTACGTGGGCGGAGGCGGGACAGATAGGTCGATCTGGGTATACATGATGCTACCCACGTTGATATTCTTACAGCTATATTATCTCTTTTCCTTTTAATTCTTTAACAGTAATGTTCGTGTAGTTTATTTAATCGTAGAGAAATCTGTAGGAAAGATTGTAAAGTGCACAGCTGTATATATTGTACAACATCTTTCTTGTAATTACATAACACTTATTTATAATTTTCTAAATTTAAAACAAATTTTTTAGAGTTCAGAAGTGGAATATATAAATTTTTAATTTGCACTCACGCTGTTAGCATAGTTCTTATGCTAGAAGTGAATCAATCGAGATTACGACGAAACGATCGTTGATTATAGTTGCTTAGAATATTTATTCTGACTTTTTTTTTTGTACGATACAATCGTGCCGCGCTAATACCGATCGATATATGAAAAGCGCCCGGTCGATGAGTAACATTTGTAAATAATTCGTCATCCTGGCCTAAATGACTCTTATTCCCGAAGAAATGTAGCAGGCAGGTAGCGCAAATAAGGGGGGGGGGGGCAGACAATCGCCCGTGCGACTGCGTTAAAGCGCGCGTATCCGCGGCTAAAACAGCAACAGCAGCAGCATCGGCAGCAGCACCGGGAGTAAGCAGAAGCAGCAACGGACACCCCTCCATGACTGTAGGCTGTTTCTCCTTTCGTCTCTTCTCTCGCGCTAGTCACTCTTTTCTCTTACCTCCTTCTCGCCAGTGGTTAGTCCCCGGCTCCCTCTTTTCTCCGTGCTCCTCTCTCTCCCTCACGGCCCGGTTCCACGTCTCTTTCACTCTACCCCATCCCCCTGATCTCGCACTGTCTCGCTCTTTCTGCCTTCTCTCCCGAGTCTCTTTAGTTTTGTGCGCTACCTGCCTACCTTGTGGCTCGCTCGTATCGTATCGTATGTAAGTGAAGCGAGGTGCCGCGGTGCGCGAGCGGGACGAGGCGAGGTTGGAGCTCTCCGAGAGACGACGGGTTACCTGTGTGCGGCACGGCATGGCGTTGTCTCCTCGCGTGTAGGCACACGGCCCTCTCACGCATATGTACGCACATCGCGCGAGCGGGGGAACACTGAGAGCATTCGCGCGAAAGAGACGGCATGCCGAAGTGTACGTACACCGGGCGCCCGTACACCAGGCCAGCATCCGACGCATACAGGTGCGTAAACGCGCGAGAGAGCACACCGCCGATTCCGCCGCAGCTTCGCGATCGCGAGAGCGTAGGTACATTGTACACGCGCGTGTATATATACGACAAAGACAAGGAAAGAGAGAGAGAAAGAGAGAAAAAGCCCACGCGTGTCCGCGTATGTATGTGTTTGGTACCGCTTGCGATTGTGTGCGCGGCCGGTGCACAAGAGCGTGGGCTCCCCTCCCTCCGGAGCCACACTCCACCTCCTCCTACCTCTCGGTCTCTACCTCCTTCTTCTACCTGCCGGCTCGACCGACACACATGTGTATGTGTACCTTGGTCTTCAGTGTAAGATCTGAACCAGCGGAGAACGCACGCTATTGTTATATCATTATCATTGTCATCGTCCGTGGTCGCTCGTTCGCGCCGTCCGGTGTGCCGTGAACATTTCGCGTCGACGCTCGTGTGGTACGCCGCGAGGGTGGCCGAGACGAAAATCATCCCGATCGGATGTGCGATCGGTCACGCGTGTATGTATCGATGCCGCCGGTGTAAACGAGAGAAACGCCCGGAACGTACGAAACCGCGTGAACGAGACGCGCGGGATTCGTTGCGTCCCTTCGCGGCCGGTATTCTGCAGAATCGAAAGACGATGGCGCGCGCACTGATACCGCGCTCTTTGACAGTAAGGCGCGCACGAGACAGTGCGATGTAAACACGTGGGAAATCGCGTCCGTCAATTGACGTCATTGTCGTCATCGTCGTCGTTAATCTCGTAATTTTCATTGAATTGCCGAGGATCATCCGCGACTGGATCTTCCTTCCAGATTTTGTTCCGAGTTTAAGAAGTCTGTAGATCCATTGTTAAAAAAAAAAAAAAAAAAAGAATTGTCAAGGAAAATCAAACGCTCATCGTTCGTATTGAAAAAGTTCGCACGATGATCGCGGTCTGAAACGTCTGTCATCGATCGACGTTGAGTTTGTAAGTTGGAGTGGCTCTTAATCGACAACGGTCGCACGCAATCGATCAAGACGGAGTAGACCAGGATCAAGAGGATCCGATGACGGGGAGGAAGCGGGGGAGACTTCGAATCTCGATGGACGAAAAGGGAAGGATAGGCTGGCAGGAAACTAGGGGTGACGCTTAATTAAAGCGATTAGACTTTGGGGTTAATTGTTCTGGAACGTCAAACTCTTACATGATCCGACATTGGTGCCGCCGCCGCGCTTGTTATCGTCACATCCCTTGGCAGGACTGAAAGGGCTAACGATCCACGACCGGGCCAATCTGATGAGCCTCGAATTGTCGTTGTCGCTTAAGCGAGGCTAACCAGAAAAGATTGTTTGATCAAAGACGAGACCTCGGCGTATATCCGAAAGTTTTTACGCTTACCGCCTGTTCATTACGACGCCGTTGGCTTTGACAACTGTTAAGAATAAATTTGATTTTAGTGACAAAACGCTGCCAGTTTTCTGCAAGAATTTTTTTCATAGTGATCTTGCCTGTGTGATCGCAATATTTAATTTTCTTTTTTTGTTTACTTGTTATTTTCTCTTGTACCAGTGATTGAATCGAATCGTTAGCAAGCCTCTCGTGGTTTTGCTGTAGCCATTTTCGAACGCGGGGGCCCGACTTGACGTACTGCGTGATCGATATGATCTCGATGATTGCTCAATTAGTTTTAAACGTGAGTAAATAAAGTGTACCGTGAAAGATTCGTCCGGTTCGGCCGGCATTTTTTGTGACCGCGCGTGATTAGTGCGAGGTATCTCTCTCTGATCGCCGAGCGGAAACGTGGACCATTTAGTGTGGGTGAAACACCTTGACGACAGTGCGGGAGCTTAAAATCTCGTGTCAGGTGCCATCGGAAAGAAACAGCCATTGCAAGCTAGTGCGTTCCACTAGGAATCGATTATGCGAGCGAGTAATCGTGATGACGAGTGATTCGCGCGATCGACGTCTCGTTTGTCCGGAAGCAACCGGTCGAAATTGACGGTAAGTTGCAACGTTTTGCCACCGCGCTCGTGTTGAAAAGTATCCGCTTTTGTAGAAAAATTTCCGCCTTTTCGCCTGTTCGCGAACTCTTCGCAGTAATCACAGTCTTCGCAACATATATTTTAGACTCCTCTTTTCGCGAGCGAGATCATTGCGCGATTTCGTACGCGAGTAGTAATTCTCACCGCGTGCTACCGCTTCGTTAAAAACATGTTATACGTGCAAGATAAATAGATATGTGGGGTTACAGGTGGAGAATTAATCTTTAGCAGACGTTAATAAGAATCTTTAAGTCATTACGACAGAAATATCTTGACTTGTGATCGCGAAGGATTAAGAAAGCGGTCTCAAAAATGTCAATTAGGCGCGAGAGCAATTCGCGACATTCGCGGAACCGGCAGATGCAGTTGATCTCGCGTCTCGCGGCGTCTCATGGTTTCTTCTGCGCAATCGTGAGCGCGGATTCTCAGGCGAACACGCGGGCAAATGGAACGATAAATCCTTCGATTGTCGAACGTCGATAATCGTTCGGCTGCGCGCTTCGCCGTAGAAACAGTGCAGGAGGTGAACATTGTCCAACGCGACCGGTTATCACGCGCATGTGATCGCGACAGCGACCCGGTTGATTCTCGCCGCCAGTTGCAAGTAGGAAAAATCGCGCTCTCGCTACGTCGCGCTCGGTCACGTTTGCAATGCAATGTCTCGCCGCGGATGTCGATCGACTGTCCGCGGGAGCTCTTTTGGCGCTCGTCGATTCGTCGAAACTCGTGCACATTACCCGAGTGATCAGTTAAGCACTCGTGATCGCGGAATTTGCTCGCAAAACGCGCTCGTTCGTCCCTTCCAGGGCGGAGACTCGTTTCTTGTTTTGATAGATTGTCCATAATAGGATCCGGCGCGATACGCTATTTATTTTAATTAAAGACGCAAGAAAAATCAAACGATCGTTGGCTACCACGTACGGAACAATCGTCAATGAGAGTGGCGGCTGCGATCGCGGCGGCACGCTTCACGTAAGGCACCGATGCATCGCGACACGTTCGACTTTCTCGGATTGTGCGTGTTTATTTTTCGCACAGTCGCCTCTCGCTCATAGACGTGCAGAAAAGAAATCGCTTGATTATTGCGCCAATCCTCGGAAGATTGTTTCTGTCGGCGCACATAATAGTTTCTTTGAAGGGATCTGTAAAAGTTCCGAGTATCTTTTACGTCGCTCTACATTTTTCTACGTAGTTTTATCAATATTGGTGTGTCGTTATCGTTACATAAAGCGCGTGAGGTTTTATCTTCTTCCGATGCGTTCGGTAACGATCTAAAAGTATGGACATGAAAGATTTCTAATGAGCGAACGGCTGAGTAGAAATTATGATTTTATTGATTGTTGTAATGGGGTCCGATGTGAGAAAACGTATATCTTGCTGCGTGATTGCATTTTACGATCTTGACGCAATAAATTATTAATCAAAGCATTTAATTATATGTTTCTAATGCAACTAGAGGAATTTCTCAACCTAACGGTCACTGAAAGTCATCTATAGTCCGTGTATTATTATCCTCAATTACGCGGATACCCTGGATACACAATGTGCACAATGCGGTTGCATCGAGTTATTAAGCCGGTCCCGTATCGCGGCATTTGCAGCAGGAAATTGAGGTGGCGAATGAATACGTCGACGTGACGCGGACTTTCATTTTATGCGAATTCTCTTTTCACAGACTTTTATCGTCGCAGCTTGCCTTTTGTTCTCCTGCCTTGTTTTTTTCATATTATAAATGCATATGATAACGGAGAAAATTTGCGTATCGCATGATATACTTATCTTCCACACCTGTCGCTGTCTCGTACCAGTTTCTTCGTTCCGCGTTATGCCTCTCGCGAAATCATGTTCTGCCGGATTGCGTACAGTTGATAGTGGGAACTTTTAGTGGCCATATTTTCATCTTAAAAGGAGTGCCTGTCAACAGTGATTTGGGTGCCGCATGAGGTGCCGCTTTTATAGTAGGTACGCACGGGAGGAGACAGTCCAATTAAGGGCACATTTGTATACTTAAGTGCACCGATATCGATGCATAAATCGAACCAGGCCCGACGATTTATGGCTCTACCGAATGTCGTAAAACGTCTACCGCGAGATACACGCGGGGAAGCCGGGCCTTCCCGTTCTTAGAATCCTCAATGGATACAGATATTTTGCGGAAGATGCGAGTTGTAACGCGTCCTTTACGATGATAAGTCTATCATTTATAATGAAAATAATGATATCTAAAAATACTTACATATTTAATGCTATTAAAAATTCAACAAATTTTATACCTAAACAATTTAGTTTGAATAACATATCTAATACATATTTTATACCTTTAGGAACAAAAAAATTATTCAGTATTGTGCAAGAAAGAAAAAAATAATTTATTTAATATACGCCCTTGATTCTTTTTCACGTCGGCTTTCAATTTTTCCGCGACGGATACTTTTGCGGCATAAACTGACACAAGCATATCTACTTTGAATATCGCGAAAAGTTGCCAAGGAAACGTCTCTCGAGCTCACGGAGCGCGTTAAAGTCAACCCCCGTAGTACGCAAGGTTAAATTCTTTACACGCTGCATCACAAAGGAGAGCGCGTTGTTACAACCCTTGCAAGATGACTCTCTCACAGCCCTCTCTCATTCTTCCGCATCGAAATGTGCACACGCGCGCGACCGCGGGATAGGAGGTATATTTTCCTTGTCGTAAATCTTCTTCGCTTGTTTCTCACGTGCTCTTCAACGATCGACGTTGAGTTACGTTCGCCGGTATTCCTTATGCTCTTACGGCCGTTTCGGTGTGTTAGGAGCTCGTAAATGTTCAAAATGAAATCCTTTAAAGCGCAGCGTATTCATTTTGTGCGTAGCAATTTGCATGTAAATCCACTGTGCTCGGACGTAAAGACCACCGGGATATAATTTTCCGCGTCAAGAACGACGACGGTTTTCGTACATCGATCAAGTATGTTAACTTATTTTCAATATCATTTTCTGTCAGTCTTATTGCGCGATAAACAATCCTGATACTCTCTTGTCGTTCGGATTGAGACCCTAAGCGCATTCCGCGTCGCGTATTTTTTTAATGAAATACATTAAATCAAATAATTTCTCACGATAACTCTTTCCGGCGCTCGACAACTATCATCGAATCGCTGATACGCTCGACTCGTAATAAAATCCGTCCTGTCTTTTCATCAAGCAACATTCTCTACATGTAAGCTTTCTCCTGTTTAAATACATCTATGCATTCTTGTGTGCGCTTCTCGCTTGATTTGTCAAGGCGCGTGCAATCGCCGTAGATCGATGTTGCAATATCGATACTGCGCGCCAACGTCGAATTTTTGCGAAACAGGTGGTTTTGCCCATATAGACCGAGAGAATACAATGTGAGCTCGCCGCTCGCGCGATCTGTCTCCGCGGCCAATCCCGTTCGCCTTGGCATGGAAAATGCGCGCGTGCCCTAATAGAGTCCTTTGTTTAAAATCGAACTCAATTGTTACGGCCGGTTATTCAGAGTGGAACAATGTCCAGTCAACCAGATACCAGTTTGTCTCGAAACGCATGCGCTCGCGTCCACCGATCGCAGTATGCGTGATCTTATCTCGGGACCCGGAGCGAAATGCAAATTGAAGTTTCCTCGCATAATTGGTCCTCTTAAAACGCTTACCTATCGCAGAATCGTGCGCGGACGAGCGAATTGAGTTTGCTGTTATTTTTATCGAGCATTGACGCGAAATATAAATATTGAAACGTTCAATAATCATAACACCATTCTCAAAGTGCGCGTGACAGGTTGATTATCTCGTTCCATTGCGTGTCCCATTGCAATTTATACAGAAAATTCAAACTGAAGCTGCATGTGTTTGGATCAGTTGAAATACTTTAGAATAATTACATAATAAATTTGTGTTTTTCCAGTCACTTAAATTAATTTAGATTAAAAATGTAGATTGCAGAAAATGTAAAGTGTGTCAGCGAGTGTCAAGCATTATCTGATTATTCAGCGAGGAAATGTTAATTTTAATATTTCTGCATGTGCTCATCATTTGCATTTAAACGGAACTATTCGTGGTGAAGTTGCCCATTCGCCCACCCGAGCTCATCGAATCTCCCTATTCTACGAAAAAAATATAAAAGATCAAAGCAATTCAAATTTAATGTTCGACCCATAAACGTTGGCTTTCTGGTGCCAGCTCGGGAATAAAGCGAGACGGGCGTTCCTCCTCCATGATAGCTTTCATATTATGGTCTAGGCGACAACACGCCCACTTGACAATTATTTGAAAACGATCCTGGTTCTTTCGTAATATTTTCCAGTATCTAGATTCGTTGCCGAGATTAGAGTTGGAATTAAAACCGAAGCAACAAAACGTGCGTGCTCGGTTAAAAAAGAAATCTACCGTCTTGAAGTCGGCGATAAAATTTTAATTTTCGCCGCTGTGCTAAAACTTGCACGTGTGCCAATTCTTTCCCGGCGGGACAATATAATGGCAAATGGGGCGCGATTTCGTGCGATACGCGGTACGATCAAGCTCAGATTGGGGATCCGTGAGCCTCCAAATGCGTCCTCCCATTTGGAACCCTTCCAAATTTTCGTCTAACTCGACGCATCTACCTGCGCGCGCGGAACGTTACCTGCAGCTGCTTACGTTATCGATGAAACGGTCATCGACCCGGCGGACAGGTACCCGCGGTCCTAACGAGTTTACTGCTCGGGCCTCAGAAAATGTCAACGAGAGCGCTGTCGTGGTGTCAACGCAGGATCGCGAACGGTTATTCGCGCGGCGATTCTCCAAGGGCTCGGCACCTCCCACTTTCCGCTTTGCCCTCCACCGAGACGCGATCCTTTATAGCGGTGATCTGGCCCCTGGAATCCCAGCGCATCCATCGGTGAAGTTAATACAGGTGAATGAGAGAGAGAGAGAGAGATAGAGCGAGAAATATCGCGAACGTTTGTCGTAGTCGCCGTTGTCG